ACAATGATAGGTAACGGTTGTGCCGTCAAATGAAAACTGGCGAGTTTGTCCCGTCGTGTCTGTAGTTCCCTTTGTAAGTCGCCAGCAATCTGAAAATATGTGTTTTTATGTGTTTTTATGTAAAAATATATTAAAATAGTATACAAAAAATACCTTCACGTGAAGTAAAAATCCCTTTCTCATTTCAATTTTTGAAGGCCTCCATCTATTTGTGCCTGCCCTCTTACATTTTAAGTAACTGCACGGAAAAAATAAGGGCAAAATGCTCAAGGCAAATATTTCTTTAGGGCAACCTTTAAAACACAAATGACAATTAAAAAAAAAATAATATATTTCTTACGCAACATTTAAACTTACTATCTTCTGGATTATTATTTGGGAACTGTTCTTTATATTCTTTAACAAGTTCCTTTAAGTAAGAATCCGTCTTGTTTTCTGCTAATTTCAACAGCGCTGTAGCAATCTGCGACCATTTAGAAAGCAAACAGTTTTTTTTATCGGAATAGTGAAAGTCAAAGTCTTGTTCCAACTAAAAAACAAAAACGGTCATAACGTCGCTTGACATCGTTGAGTCAAAACGTTATATTCATGCGCATTATGGCTTATTAATTTTTATTAAACATAACTTTTATTAAATATAATATAATTTTGTTAACTGTGAGTTCCTACCGTTGTCTACATTACATCATTGAGACAATATGAGATGGTAGAATTGCGATAAGTGAGATTTGTTCTCTTCGATAGTTTTACATATGGACCACATTTTATGAATATAACCAAATTCTCAGTGGACAATATATTTTAACTAAATTTCTGATAATGTATGTACGATGTTTTGTTATTTTACATTGAAAATGACCCGATCGGTGTCGAAACGTTTGAATATTGTATATATACGTTTATTAAAGATCTTATATTATAATTGGCTCGTTGCCCTTGTTTTATTTATTGATTTATTCTAATTGAGCCATATTATAGTAACATTTAATTAAAAAACAAAATTTAGGTAAATACAAATATTTATCCCTAACTTTAATTTTCTTACCAAGGTATATTCCAAAGGTAATTTGAGGCAAGGAAATTTGTTGAAATACTCATGTATAGTCCCATTATTCACTGCCTTTCGTTGTACTACAGTTTTACTCCAATATTCTTGAACTGTTGTAAATGGTTCTGAATTATTTTGTAACCATAATATGTAATCTTCTGCTTCCACGTCTGTTAAAAGATTCGCTAAGTGGACTTCTTTTTCTTGACCTAAAAAATAAAATAACATTTTTACGTTTATAAAAATAATTAAAAATAAAAATACTTAAGTACCTACTTGTATATATATAAAATTGTATATATATAAAATTTTCTATCGCGTATAAGTAAAGAAACTGCATTTTTCTTAGCTAACGTTTTTAGATGCATATATTTCAAAAAATCTATAAATAATATCTAATAATAATAATTAAAAAAGTGTAATTATAAAAATTATTCCTATCTTTCGTTAGTAAATAATCTTTTTATTTATTTTACCTTCTGTAGAAGTATTAATAAGACCTAGCTTTTTATAAAGTTTTCTTAAGTATGTATAAGCACTCCATAATTTCCCTCGAGCTGCTTTAGGTTTTCCTTTTACATTTACGTATGGTACATAATAAATACTTGAATTTTCGTGTGAAAACTCTTCGCATATTTCCTTTGCCAGTTGAGTAAATCTTTCAGTCGTGATTCTAAAAAAATATTTGATATGTCAGAATGTAATGATTATTATTTATATTATAACATATGTTATATAATATTATGATATATTAATGATAAATGTATTTGTTGTGTACCTAGCGTCTTTATTTCCTACTAGTTCATGCTTAACTATAAGCTCTGCCAGTTTATTTCTCAAAAAAATGCTGTTTTTACCATAACTAGCCTTGATAAGTTGTCCTTCATCAGTGGTGTTTAACAGTCTACGAACAGTCTAATAGAAAAAAGTGTACTTATAATGAGAAAAATTAGTTTATTGATTCTTAAATGTATGTAATTCTATATAACTTACAGAATTACAATTTTGATTAGCATATATTTTATGTGGTAAACCCACTGTAACTTTATTTAAACACTTTTTTCCATCAGTCCGAATTTCCTCGTCTTCTGATAGAACATTGGAAGTTGATGGACTTGGATTTATATCAGATAGCGAAAGTAAAGAAGTTGATGGATTTGGATTTACATCAGATACCGACGAAATTGTCGTATTACGTAAAGTCCAGTCAGTATCCAAGATTATCTCATTAATAATCTAAAAATGAAAGTGTAAAAAAATTTTTAGAATACAGAAACCAGAACGTCATTTTGTTCTTGATTTTTAAATTTTGAAAACTGAGTTAAAAATCAGCGCTACCATAAATCCAAATATTTTTCGCATAACTCGAAATTTTGGAAACTTGTTCAAATTATGCGAAAATTTATATGCAACAATTTTTCATAAATTCAATCAGTCGTTTTATTTTTGAATTGTTTTATAATGACACAAATTCAAGTTTCTAAATGTAAGTATACTGTAATCAGAGAATTTTTTTGCGTATTTAAAGTGAAAATAATGAAAGTATATATTTATTAAATATTCGAGAACTCTTCAATTATTTCTCTTACAATTAGTTCCAGTGAACATTTCGATCCTTTGAAAATCTAGAAATTTATTTCCGCGCGTTGATCAACACATACAGATGACTTATCGTATGTAGTAATCCGTATGCACGGAAATTCAGTGAAAAAATGAATGAATGAATGATGAATGAATGATGAATGAATGAATGAATGCACGTTGATAAATGCGTAGATATCTTAAAACATCTCTCTCCGTGCGTGGTTTGCTAAATATTTTTGTAAGTATGCTATTACTATTTCACTTGCTAAATACTGTAAGCATACTATTACAAATTTTATGAGATTTTGATACAACTTTTTTTAACACTTATCTCCATTAATCAACAGTAATTTTTTATACTAATATCGAATATAATATTTTTAAAAAGATGTTTGTATCAAAATCTCATAAAATTTGTAATAGTATACTTACAAAAATATTTAGCAAACCACACACAGAGAGATGTCTTAAGATATCTATGCATTTATCAACGTGCATTCATTCATTCATTCATTCATTCATTAATCTTTTCACTTTCCGTGCAGCTTGTACGGACTTATCTACATACGACAAGTCATCTATGTGTGTTGATCAACGCGCGCGGAAATGAATTTCAAGATTTTCAAAGGATCGAAATGGACTTTTCTTAACGCATATACACAATTTCTATTTGCACACAGACGGGAAATGCTTGTTGATATCTTAAGTACAACTTACCTTATCAGTAACAGGAAGCACATCAGATAGAGAATTCTTAAAATTTTGATATTTGTTCAAAAATTTTCTTTTGGTACCCACTTCGCTTATCAAACTCTCTACATCTGTGTCAGTAAGAGTATGAAACACCTCGGTGTCAATTTTTTAGGCTAGAATAAAAATTATATAAATTGTAAAATTTTTTACTCATCATAATATGTGCTCCCTTCGAATCAAACAACATTTTCCTTCGATATTTTCTCGTATCATTAAAAACAACGAAGATATCTTAGATAATCAAGTTAGAAGAAACATCTTATATAAAATATTCGGAACATCTTGTATAAATTATTCGAAACCGGCAAAAGTTTACATTTAGCGTAACATCAAAAATTATAACCTAAAAATGATGTCGCGTGTTAATCTTATTTATAATCGCCTTATTTTAGAACTTACCTGTAAATGTTGGAATCAATTCTTCTAATTCCCATTCTTGTAATATGTTAATCACAAAAGAATCCATTGTCGATGATATAGCAGGACGATACGTCAGGTCACGTCAATATAAGTAATCGAATAATGGCTATGTTTACACCGTGCATTTAGGCCGCAGCCTATACAATAGATGCCCTTTTGTGTGTGTGTCTGTTTAGCCTGTATATTAAATAAAGACACCTATATCGTATAGGTCGCGGACTAAACGTACAGTGTAAACGTAGCCAATGTCTTAAAATCGGAATGCACCGGTCACCGGCCCACCTCGAACCGGGCAAGTAGAATAACAAAGATGATGCAATAAGAAACACTTTCTTCTTCTTTAATTAATGGCTCCCGCCTCCAAACAATGTAAAAAGATGTCGATTCGATGTCGATTCCATGTCGATTCCATTGTCATTTCTCACTGGGACGTTCGACCCGCTCGAGTGATCTCACGAGACTTCGTAGTGGCTACACCGTGCATTTAGTCAGAATATTTTATGACAAATTGTAGAAAACATATCTACAATTATAGTATAGCAGTTCATTTTTTATGTTTAAAGTAAAGTGAACAAATTGTATTCACAATTGTATTCTACAAACTATATAATAAAACAAGCAAAACATTATTACAAATTAATATTAGCTGTTTTAAATATTAAGAATATTATTTTATAGAGTACTACAATAACGCAATAAATTTTAACTAAATTTTATAGCATAATTTCATAACCAATGTGTAATAAGTTACTATTAATGTATAATAATTATTTAAAATGCTGTAGAAAAAAATGTTTTACTTTTTATTAATATAATTTATTTGCGCGTTTGTTTCACAGAGTCACAATTTTTGTGTTTGCATGTGACAAAATAAATTTGCTACAAAATTGTAGCTAATTTGTGTATTTTCTATTTTCCATTATGTTACAATTTAAAGTTATTTATCTGACAAAATTAAGTCTACAATATTGTATTAGTTTTTTCCGAGACATTTTTCTCAGTGTACGATTGCTGGACGCTTCGCACCGAGCAGGGAACAACGCTCACGACAACGAGATGCTGTCGATCATCGAGGAACTCCGCGAAGCCGGTCTTATTATAAATTAAATCGCGTATTAATGAAACGTGTCAGTCGAGTGACAACAGCGAGAAAAAATACGTTATTTTTTGTACCCTGTGTATTACGCGTCGAATCATGAAAAAGAGATCCGATGAAAAGGGAAAAGTTAGCTCCGAGAGACGTCGGCTCGTCGAGGAATTGCACGCTCTGGCGAGAAGAAATTTTCCGCGAAGACGCGTCATACTCCGGGGATATGATGATCTGTGGCAGGCTGACATAGTCGAGATGCATCCACACTCGCGTTTCAACAGAGGCCATCATTACATACTCATCGATGTGTTGAGCAAGTACGCGTGGGCCGTACCGCTCAAGAGCAAAGGTGGAAGCGAGACGGCTGAAGCTATCGCTGAGATAATTCGAAAGAGCAAAAGATATTCAAAAAATCTACAAACCGATATGGGAAAAGAATTTTACAACGTTGATCTGCAATGGCTCTTGAAAAAACACAACATCAATCATTATTCAACGTACTCCGTAATGAAGGCATCAGTCGTCGAGCGATTCAATTGCACATTAAGGGGGGATCCCGGTTTAGAAGGTCAAAAAAATCTATTTTTGTTTTATTGCATAAATCGATAGATAAACTATTCAAGAATAAGTTCCGA